TTGGGTTGAGGGGTTTAGGGTTTTGGGTTTTGGGTTTTGGGGTTTTGGGTTTAGGGTTTTGGGTTTTGGGGTTAGGGGTTTGGGTTTAGGGGTTTAGGGTTTAGGGGTTTAGGGCATGCGCCGCTACACCACACTCCCGCTTGATCTATTGGGGCAGCGGCTGGTACGGGTCCATGTACCTGGCACAGGACAAGTTGGAAGGCTGTGACTGTAGCTGGTCTAGCAACAGGGCATGGCATGAAGACCTGTAAAGGAGCAGCACACAGAGATCTATGATGTACCCCTATATAACCCTACATACTATAGTAGTTTCCATGTTCTTTTCCATTATCCCAATGTATCCCCTATATCCCAATCCGCACACACGTAGATCTGCAGGCTGTGCCGTACTTGCTACGCGAAGCTTGAGCAATATGGGAGTTTCCCACAGTTAGGGGTACCTGTTTAGGCAGCGCAATAATAAGGACTATAGTATTTTGGGGTCTATAGTGGGGTCCCACAATTTTGGGAAACTACCATATCTTTGATGGCCCAATTAGCTGTAAAGTACGTCCTGAGCCTCCTGAGCAATGCGCGCACTACAAGTAGCTGCGTTGAAAACCCTGCACTTGGAAAGGGTCCAAGATCTGAAGCAAAAAAGTGGGCAGAAGCCAAGGCCAAAGTAGTTTCCATTTCTTTTCCATTATCTCACTATTACCCCAATATTACCATAACCCTAATATTACATACCATAATATGTTACAACATACTAAACAAACAAGAAGCTTTAGCCTGACCATTGAAGCCAACTCACAAGTGATCCACTTGCCGCGGGTACTGTGGCTGCGGTGCCCCCACCATGCTGGGAGGCATGCCGCCACCATGCATGTTCACCTCCAGCTGTTCCACTGTAGGGGATAAATTGGGATGATGGAAAAGAAAATGGAAACTACTATAGTATATAAGGTTATACAGGTTCATTTACCATAAACTCAGCGCTGGAAGTCATTGCTGCACCTTCTGGAACATTTGCTGCTGCGATGGCGGCATCGCGTTCATGATGAGCATCGGAATGCCTGGCAGCACTGGCATACTACAGGGGCCTAAATTATTACCAACATCATGTTCAGGTCCATTTGAGGTACCATATACTATAATTATATAAGGAATATGGAACCATGATATAGGTAATTATTTAGTCCCCTATATTGCTGCTTGTTCAGCTCTCCTGATTCATGCTCCGATGTGGCCTTGGAAGCCGTTTTTCTTGATCTCGTTGATCTCAATCTGCTGCTGGGCATACATGCATCCAGTCACAGTCATGACCAGACCTCAGATATGACTCAAACAAGAACTGGTTTGGAGGAAGGCGCACAATGCTCCGCTTGAGACTGTATGGTGCCAACTTATGCACATAAACATTGACAGCCAGGTTTGAAAATTGTGATTGATCAGCATATGTTGGGCCTTCTCACACCCATTGCTGGAACATTTTCTAGAGTCAATGGACATTTACTCGCCTTCCATACTGAAAAAACACCTTGGAAAAAACACCTTGGAACAGTTTATGTTACACGTGCTTAGTGAAGGGGAATATAAAATGTGGATTATGCAGGGATTGTATTCCCCCATTCCCTACTAAGAACCAGTAAGTTGTACGCTGTGTTGCTAACCTGTCGTTAACCAATTCCTCAATTGTTGGTCAATCATACAACCTGCAGACGCAGACTTCCCAGCCTTTCACAGCTTGATACCTGTATCTTAGGAGGACCCCCCACACACTGTAATAGTGACTAGAAGGGATCATGGTGATTTTATTAGGGTCCTCTTCTACTCTTATACAACTATGACAAGATGGGGAGTCCACCTAACCCTGTAGTTTCCTTAGACCTAGAACAAAAATGCCATTTTTAATATTTCCTCAGGGTTATAGTATAATACAAATTATCACAAATTCCTGAAAACAGTACAGAACATGCATTTGAGAACAACAGCAACTTGGGGCCTGCCAAAGCTGTGGTTTCGCGGAAGTGCCATGTCTCGCAATCACCCAACGTAGAACACTTACTGGTTCTTAGTAGGGAATATGGGAATATATTGCATAGGGATTACATAGAGGATATTTCCCTTACTCCCTGCTAACTAAGAGACAGCAAGAATACCGACAAGAAGCTGTAAGAAGCTTATGATTTATAAACCCTCTTCTCTTAAGGCCGTAAATGTTTAGGATCCCTATTATAACCCCTATGGGGGGGGGAGTTATTAGTAAGGCGTCTACATTATCCAACGGATCATGCGTGCCAGGCTACAGTCTGCCAGGAAGTCAATCTCCTGGGGTATGTCAATGAAACACCTGCATACATAAGGAAAGTTAAGGGTACCTTCAAAGAGGGATACCAGGGTTTAAAGGGGGCTTTATAGGGGCTATCTAGGGCTTTTAGATAGGCTTTAGGGTTTCCCGAAATCAGGGTTACCTTTTGCAGGAGCCCAATAGGACTAAAGTATTATGGGGTTTTTTGAGGTCTCCGTATTTTGGGAAACTATTACAAGCCACTGTATAATCCTAGCTTCCACTTCATTTTCCATGTCCTTTTCCGTTTGATTCTCCATTATTGGGGGGCTGATATCTCCTAAACCCTAAACACCCAACCGTAAACCCTAAACCCTCTACCACAAGTCATCTTTGCTGTCGCCCCTGCCCCGGTGCGCCCATAAGTCACTTTCGGGCCTCGCTATGTCCAAGATGTAGACCTCATCCGGAAAGGCAACGCGGGGGGGTTCCCAAGATTAGGGGTGCCTTTAAGGTGGCTAATAGAGGTTACATAGGGGCTATGTAGCTTCTACACGGGGGTTTTATAGGGTTTGAAGTTTAGGGATAAGGTTTTCTTAAATTAGGAGTACCTTTTTGGGAGTGCCCTTTTAAGGATTCTAGAGTTTTGGGGTCTATGTTGAGGTCCCCCTATTCAAAGAAACTACTAGTACCATGTACCACAGAGTGCAGAAAACCGCTACGTCGTGGTCACAGATGCAAGGACACAAGCTCAAATGTCCTGCACTCGCCCACGCAAGCTAGATACAGCCATCAAGTTTGTAAGCCATCAGAAGCAACAAGCATATCCAAGGCATCTACGGGAGATCAGCCAGCACTGGGTCCCTTGCAAACAGGCAGGTGCCTGTGATGATGCAGTCATCGCAAGGTGTATTCTCCTTGTCGAAGCGGGTCTGCACCATAAACCTGAAGTGCTAAGGATGTGCTAGGATCAACGTGCTCCCAGCCGTGCATGCTTTGACATCGTAGCTTGCGGCAGCCACAGGTACATGGTACATGTTGACAAAGACAGGCGAAAAGCAAGACCGTGTACTTCAAAGACCCTTGTGCTTGGCCGTTCGAGTAAAATCCTTGCATCATGCCCCAAACGAATGCCAGCAAACGCCAGGCAAGCCATAGCCAAAAAAACTATAATTTCTAGCGCTATGACTACAACTGGTATCACTATTTCTATTCTTACTACTATTCTTATTGCTGGATTACTACTATTATTCCTATGCTTACAACTATTAGTATTTCTATTATTGCTACTATTATCTTTACTATTCTTACTACGAAACCCTAAACCCTAAACCCTACTATTGGGCTCCCAGGCCGATTTGCGCTCAGCGCAAGCCCAGGGCAACAGCAGACTTCCACGCAGAGACATCCGCGGTCCTGCTTCGAAGCGGGGCAAGGGGTTAACGGTTAAGGGTTAAGGCAGGCAAACCAGTGCGAACTAAGAAATCTTGTGAAACTTACTGGGGTTAGTAGGGAATAAGGGGAATACAAAATGTAAGCATTATATTGAGATTATAATACTCCCCTATTCCCGCCCATTCCCTACCAACCCCTAGTAAGGAGATCTTCGGAAGGTGTCTCTTTTTCTGCCACACTGCGCTACATGCCGAGGCATGTGCCTAACAACGGCTAAAGCTCGCGAGGGTTCGAACCCACTTAAGTGGGACGTTCCAAGCTAGCCTGCCTTGCTCTCTCCAGCGACGCTGAGAAAGCTGTGTGACAGCTGCCAGAGCTTGGCGAGCCACTCATGTTGGCTCAGAAAACTAGAGGAGTCCCTGAAGCAGGAGCGCGCATCCCACCAAGTGCGAGACGTCAGCGCAGTCAGTTCTGGCGTTGAAACAATCCGCCCGCGAAGGCCCTCTGAGAGTCTCGCAGGATTGGGGGACTGAGGCAAAAAGGAAAGGGTCGGGCAGAACACCCACAGGCCAAGGCGGCTCACTCCGCACTAATGTGCAAAGCACCTTGGCTGCTCCACGCATCCTCTACTTCCTGTTCCTAGCATTGAAAGCCAAAACCTGAAACTCATGAAAATAGTATTAATAGCAATAATTCTCATGATAACAATAATTGTAGCAGTAATAATAACAACAACAATAACCACTATCATGATAATGGTAATAAGAGTCGCCACTCTCGAGGTTGGAATCCAGCGGAATCCTGGGCCACCAAACGCATCATTTCACTCGACCGCCGCCGCTGCGTGCTTGAAATGCTTTGAGGGGCCTCTGGTTAGCTGGGAATGAAGGAGTGGAAAAGAAAATGGAAACTGCAGGGAGTATGGGGATAATATAGGGGTTATATCAGGATTATAGGGTATATATTGGGCTTACATAGGAAGAACGGAAAAGAAAATGGAAACTACTTTAATGGGTTATATAGGGATTAAAAATGAGGATCCATTCCTGCATTCCCAGCTAACTAAAACCAGTTGAGGGGCCGGCAGTTACACCACGATCTGAATCTGATCATCCCGGGTGCCGTAGAATTCCTGCGGCACACAGGGATGTACTGGCCCTCTTCTACTACTCAGGGTTTGGGGGTTTAGGCTTTAGGGTTTAGGGTAGCATACGAACCAGGCCCAAAATTGGTCAGGTGATGTTTGTCTGACTGGGAGGTAAGTTGCTCCGCTGTCCTTCCTGATGATCGATTAGATCAATCAGGACAAGCTCATTCTAGCACTATGTCATCTGGTACACATGCTATAACTAGATCTGCAGAATGCGCCTGGCGCAGGAGTGTCAATTAGGTCACCGGATTCTTCTTGTGCACACTTTTGTTCGTACTTTAAGACCACATTGGGCCCATGGCGGGGATGCACCTTCAAGCCGTCCACGTAGATCCATTCCATGGCGCGCGCTGGCGACAAGAGCTTGCAGTAGTGATAGCCGACAGTCTGGACGAACGACCTCATTCTTGACGAACTTTATAGTCCCCCTTAAGTAGACAGAAAAAAAGTTTTGGGTACAATAGAGTAAGATCCCCATATATCCCATATTCAATATTCTATCCACTTAAGGGGGACTGTAACTTCAAGGCCGCCATCAGCTCGTCTTGTGAAAGAAAACATTTGGAAGTGCATGGCGGCTGCATTCAGCTTAAACATTGCTTTCAAGCTCAAGACCAGCTCAGTCCAGAAGTGAAGTCAAGTGCACTGCCTACTATGGTCAAACACATGCTGCTAAGTTGCACGTCCCCCAAGTTCCTCAGCAAGCAAGGCCAACCGAGGCGTTCCAAAGATCCCATGCCAGGACTGGAGCAAGCGCATGCGCACCTACAAGCCCATGAGAGTGTATGAAAGGCCGTCACTAGATGTAGCTCAGTGTCTTGTTCTTCAGGGGGAAGTAGTGGGATTGCACAGCGACCGTTTTCTTGTCCTGGACACGGACTCTGTCGTGGAAGTCTTCCACACCAACAACTTCGAGGCAAGCACTCATCATGGATCCAAACGCCCAGGTCCATACCCAATACACCATTATTACTATAGTGTCACTATATTCCTACTATATTATTACCCTACTATTACTCATTACTCTACTATTACTCTATTACTACTATATCGTTACTACATTTTTGCCATATTCTTACTATATTGCAAGGCGTTGGCAGCAGATGGTCCTGGCTAGGAGTGAAGGACAGCGCATCGTGGATCCATGTTGGACCCGTAATGCCGAAGCCGGACTTCTTGTCCTGATCTGGAGACATCACGGCGTGAGGGCACTGAAAGCCATGTGAGTAGCGTTTTTTTAGTTGTTAAACCCAGTAAGATCATATTCCTCATATATCTTACTCTATGCTGGGTACCATAGTATCCCCAAATAAAAGATGGCACCTGCAGGTCGTACCTGGTCAGCTTTCTTGGCTGCTGTCTGGAGGCGCGATCTAAATGAGCTGTAGTCTAAACTCCTAGTATCCCCCCTAATAATACCCTGTATAACCCTCTTTTAGGAGTTTAGACTATAGCTCAAATGGCATGCAACTTTCTTGCTCGCAGTGCTTTTCATCCCATCAGATACGAGGGCATCCCTCTGAAAACCCTGCCCAGCAGTCCTCCACAAAAACATATGGCTGGCCGTGCTTCAGGAAGCGGTCGCGGGCCTGGGAAGGCAGCTGCTTTCGTGCTTCCATATATTATAGAAGATTGTAGTGTATTATACTAGATTATAATATATTATAGTATGTTATAGTATATTATAGTAGATTATAGTAGATACTATAATCGATTATAGTATATTCTGCTATAGCGTGGTATATTATGGTATCTAATGGTATATTCTGCTTCGATACACTCACAGCCCACAGAGCCCGACCTTGCTGGAGGCGGTCTTCAGGGCCCAGTCGTAGGCCGCCTGACATCTGAAAAAAGTAAGTAAGTGGATACCAAATAGCAGTGATATAGTTTAGGGTTTAGGGTTTAGGGGTACTAGGATAGTAATATTATAGCAACAATATGATAAGAATAAGTGGATACCAAATAGCAGTGATATAGTACTAGGATAGTAATAACATAGCAAGAATATGATAAGAACATAGCAATAATAAAGCAATAGTGTAGTAATAGTATAGTATTTGTTGAGTAGCAATGGGAATGGAAGGGAAAATGGAAACTGCAAAAAGTACCCGGAGACCAATTGCAATACTAGTAAAAATTGTAATAATAGGATGATGGAAAGACAACGGAAACTACCATTTATGGTTTAGAGCAGTAGGGCAGCAATAATGGCAATAATGTCTCTAAGCAAGTCTGTTGAACGCACCCGGGGCATGGAGCTCGGCCTGGTTGATGGACTTGCAGATTTCGGTGTTCAACTCGTCCTTGGAAGAACTCTGCGCACAGCGCAGTAGGTACATCGCGAATCAGCTGCAAGACACGTACAACCTGGCCATGAGCAAACCATACTTTTGCATCCAATTAGCTGTTGCTGTGTAGTTGACGTCCTGAAGTCCCGCAGCCTCGTGCTTCAGCAGACAGACATGTGCTTACAGGTGGCTGAGCAGAAGGAAGCCCCCAAAAGAAGAGACCTCTTCCCTGCCTGTTGCAGAGCCTCGCGGGACTTGAACTTGGTGCCTCTGCTCACCATGCATCAGGATGCTAAACCAAGCTGATAGGATCCTATCTTGCTTGGCAAGAGTACACCTGGCATGCACCCGTGGAGCGTCAAGGCCCTTTCAAATTTAAGTAGCCATTCAAGCTGAAGTGCGGAACTCGCTGGCGGTAATGGGCCAAAGGCCTACGTCGAAGTCGTCCTGGCACACAGTCCCAAAACTGCCTCGCAACCTGCGGGAAAAAGTAAAACACTTGCTTCTTTGACACGCGAACAGAACGCACCCAACTTCTTCAAACCTGACACTGCTATAGCCTTCCAATCATAGATCGGCATCGACACGGTGGTGGCATTGATGACGCACGTCGCAGGGTCTGAGCAAGCGGTTCCCGGCCTCAGCAGAATGACACAAATGCGGCCTGCACCCGACGACATTACTTTGAGATCCTAGAACTGCGAATGATGTCAGCTGCAGTTGCCATCAAGCAGCTGGGGCTCAAAGATGTGGGGCAAGTGGAACGGCCTCACATCGGAGACGTCGTGGAACGCATCCTCCAGCTGGTCATGATGCAGTAAAAAATCCGTCTACATGTCCGTTCAGAGCATCTGGAGAAGTACTTCGTTGACAATCCTTTGCGTCAAGCTTGACAAGGTCCTTGGTGACGAGCTTCGTCTGAGATGCGGGGGTCTTCTCGAAACCAGCCACCATGTTGGCAGCTGTGTTTGCCACCCAGTCACCTGCCGGCGCTAATCATTTGCCAGGCCAACAATGCATGTCATGAGGCTGTGCTTTACTGTGGGGGATATCGCTACACCTTAAACCCTAAATAGTAGCTTAAACTTTTGTTTCCATTATCCCCATTTAGGCCTTATAATATTGGTACGTGCTTGCTTGCAATGGCTGCGTTGTCACCTGGTAGTTTTCCTAAAGAAAACCACAATATATGACCCCAAAGATATCATAATCCTTATTATGAAGAACCCCAAACAGGTACGCCTGATTTTGGCAGACCCTGAAACCCCTAAACTTCAAACCTTACATAACCCCCAAATAGCACCGTATAGCCCCTATGTTACCCGTTAGAGGTACCCCTAGTTTTGGTAAACCCCCACGTGATGCTTGCCATTTCATTTTCCAATTCCTTTTCCATGTGATTCTCCGTCATGAGGATAACATCCCCATTTATCCCTACATATCCCAGCCTAAACTCTGACACCTAAATCCATGCTGCCCAGAAGCTGCCACAGGTGCAGTCAGCTGGAGGCATGGGCTTGGGAGGGCCAGCCGGTGGCAGCAGGGACTTGTCAGGATACCTTTGGGGCTCAGGGTTTAGGATTTATGTTTAGAGTTTAGGTCTTTTTTTTTGTCACCCCTTCGCACCTTTTCGGTGGCAGCAAGGGTTTAGGGCTTGGGATTTAGGGTCTGGGGCTTAGGGTCTAGGATACCTCACTAGACCTACCGGGGGTTAGTAGGAAATGAGGGAAGATAGATACCACTAGTAAGTAGAAAGTACAATGCAAGTCAAATGGGCGTAAGCGGAATCTGCCACAAAAAACATTGCGCATGCGTTCAAGCCAAGATACTTGGCGTACTGGCAAGTCGGGTTGGTGGGATAGTCGCTGTTGCATGGAGGATTCAGGTTGTGGTAGCCCTCCAAGTGCATTGCTGCCAGGATGGGTTCCTGAATAGTAATACTAACCGTATTAATTATGGAAAAGAAAATGGAAACTAGTATAGTATAATCGGGTATTGTATAGAAAATATTTTGGGATGATGGAAAAGAAAATGGAAACCGATCTCTTGAAAATGGAAGTTTTTGACCCGTAGCCCTAAACCCTAAATCCTAAATCAACCAGAAGCAGAGAGTGATGGAACAAGTCCAAGCCTTTTCCTGGCTACTCGGTCCGTTGTTGCAGGTTTTCAGTCGAAGGGTTTGCGGTTTCTGAAGCTTGAGGTGAAGATCAGGGCGTAGGTAGGGTTTGATCCCTAAGCCTTCAGAGCTTCGCGTCTTCGAGATGTTTCCAGGATGTGGGACTTGTGAAGATTTTCGTGTTCTTCATTCAGGGCCTAGGGCCTCAGATTCGCCGCTTTACGCTTGGGTTTCCATAAATAGAAGGGGCCCAATATATGGACCGAAAAGATACCATAATCCTGATTATGGGGACCCCCAAAATGGTAGCCCTAATTTTCGGAAACCCCCAGAAGGGTCTTCGGATGTCAGAGTGTGAAGCAGGTTTAGCATTCGGAATTTCGGGCTTCAGCCTTGCGTCATGAGACAGGATTTCAGCCTTTGTCTAACTCCCAGTATCCCCCTTAGTAACCATTATAATACTCCCCTAGATAAGCCCCGTATAGCCCCTCTGTCAGGAGTTCGACCCTAAACCCTAAGCTATATAATCCCTTACATTATATCATCCTCTATATAACCCCTCTTTAATGAGTTCAGACTATGGCTCATTTTGTAGTTGTATGCCGTCGGTTTTTTGGTGTTGAGGCTTGGCAGGTTGGCTTCCAGGCTTGTCTTGTTCGTAGCCATACTACTAAACGCACCTGTTATCCATAATCATAGCTTGAGGAGACTAGGGGGTATAGGGTATGTTAAGGTATTCTATAAACCCTAAACCCTAAACCCTACACCCTAAACGGTAATGGAAAAGAAAATGGAAGCTACAGGGATCACAGGGGTTCTACAAGGGGTCAAAAATCATCTTGCAGCTTGAGTTTTGCCCTCCGTTGTCCTGTTTTTGGTGCACGCCTTTCTGATCCCCCTAAACCCTAAACCCTAAACCCTGAACCCTGAACCCTAAACCCTACCTTCTTCCAACTGGAGTCGAGGATCTTTTGGGGTTTTATACAGGCATCTCCTGGTTTTGGGGATTGGAAGGCTTAGGGATTTTGGTTCTGGGATTTGGGCTGAGGGTCTGGGGAGTTGTCATGTTTTGGGCTGGAAGGCTCTTTCAGCCCTCAGCTTTCTGCCTGCCAGGCAGAAGGTTCCAGGTGGCAGATTGTAAATTCTTAGTTACAGTTTTCTCTGGCTTTGCGTCTGGAACGGGTTTGGGTACCAGGTTTCATGCCGCGGGTTGAGGGCTTTAGGGTTTGGTCTTCATTGTTTGCACTGCGCCCTAGCAAGGAGCACCATTACCGGGAGTGGGGTTGAATCTTACACCATGGAAAGACCTAACTAAGTAGGATCATCTGAGGCTGCTTTGTTTTTTCAAGGTGTAGTAGAATGGAAGGAGAGCTTTAGGGGGTGTAGAATCGGCTTGATGCTTTACGCTTGCAAGTTTTCGGACGGGGGCTTATTCTAGATCAAAGTTCCAAGGCCTAGGGCCCAGGGTTTCGGTTCTTGGCATTCCGAAATTCAGATTGCAAGGGGACGTTTGCCACTCTCTTGCTTGCTTGCTTGCTCAGTCACTTGCTTTGCTTGCTGACGGGCTACCTTTTTCTGCAGCTAAAAGCCTCGAAGATTGCCCGCTGGCTTGCTTGCTTGCTTTCTGGCTTGCTCGGCTAGCTTGCTTGCCTGTTGGCCTTTGCCCGAGAGACAAGAAAGCGGGAAGCTTAAAACAAGAGGAGGATCCCGCTACGAAAGACAAAGAAAGAGCTTTGAGTCCCCGAAGCACTATGCGCTGAGAAAGATGCTGCATGCCCAAGATTCCACGAGCTCTCCTGTCTTCTTGACCTTAGTAGCTGCGCAAAAAAAAACAGCAACATCCAGCAACTTCAAGACTCAAGATCTCACATGACCTCACCTACTTTGACAAGAACAACCCCAGGCAAGGCAATGCAGGCAGGGCTCGGCTTCCACGATCTTCGCCCCAGCTGCCGCCTTCTCGGCATCGGAGCCGAACAGAGAGCTCATGTAGTCAGCTATCACTTCACCAATCATCGCGTGGCCCTCTTCCACCGTCACCTGGCGAATCGCAGTGAAAGTCAAACCTGTCAACGTCGCTCTCCCTACAGCGTTGCTTTAGAAGGGGCCATTCTCGCTTGGACTAGAATCTGCAGGCGCGCTCCGGACACTTGCAAGACCTACCTGTCACATGATAATGGTGATGATGATGATGATGGTGATGATGGTGATGATAATGAGGAGGGGGTTTCCCGAAATGAGGGGCCCCTTTTGGAGGTCCCAGAATAAGGACTATAGTATTGTGCGGTCTATAGTTCATCTTTGGGTCCCCATTTGGGGAACTAGCAGAACCCTATAGACCCTATATAATTCTAGCTTCCATTTAGTTTTCCTGGTTCTTTTTCATTTGATTCTCCATTATCGGGGGGTTACATCCCTAAACCCTAAACTATAAACCCTAAACCCACATGGCCGACATGGCCAGCCTCAGCTTGGATGTCATTCTTCTTGACATTGGATGGACGGTCGCCCGAGCTGAAGCTCCAATGGTCGACACCTGCTTCCAGTGAGTGCCAGACGGTGATATACGGTTATATAGGGATAATGGAAAAGAAAATGGAAACTATAGGGATTATAGGGATTATAATGGGGTATATATTGGGGTTATATAGGGATAATGGAAAAGAAAATGGAAACTATTAGGGTTTGTAGGGGTTATATAGGGGCTAAATAGAGGTTATGTGTGCCCGAAACTGCTGGGTTGCTGTTCAGGAACGTAACTTAAGTTACTACAGTAAGAAAACCCTATATTGACGCTATGCCCATATCATGGCAACTTATTTCAAGTCCCTCAACGGCAACCCAGAATGCTGAGCGCCTGCTGCCCTGTTCATTCCTGATCCCATCTGAGCTGTAGTCTAAACTCCTCATAGGTTTTTTTCTGGAGGATTATATGGGCCATAAACTCCTACTTGTAGTATCCCCCCTAGTAAGCCCTATAATACTACCCCGTGCGGCCCGCTTTGATTAAGGAAATCTTCAATCATGAACCCTAAATCCTAAACCTGTTTAGGGTATCAGGGTTTAGGGTGTAGGGCCTTCCAGCAGGACCACAGGGCGATCCATTCCAGGTGCGTCAGCTCCTTCCACATGCAATCCCCTCCCCCTACTACTAAAAATCCCCCACCCTCAACCCCAATATCAAAGTTTCCCATGCTGTATCCTGTACCACAATGTGGGTGGTTGTCAAAATAATGGTCCCTTTCTGGGTACCCAAAATATTAGGTGCCATAATATAATAGGGACCCAAAAAGGGACCATAATTTTGACAACCACCCATGTGAGTATCTAGTACTAGGGGGGGGGTGAGGAAGTTAATGACAGGAGGATGGGATTAATTACGTCGAAGCAATCATCCAGAAGCTGCTCAGCTGAAACATAATAATAATAATAGTAATAATAATGGTAATAGTAATAGTAATAGTAATAGTAATAGTAATAGTTATTCTAATAGTAATAGTAATAGTAATAGCAATAGTTTTAATAATAGTAATAATAATAATAGTACTTCTCCTCCAACCTTGATCACCTGGTGGAAGTAAGCTTCTGCCTGTCAGCACTTTACCGTGGTACGATGAGCAGAGGGTCCGTTCTTTCTTCGGCCTGGCGCGTAATGCGCAAGAGTCCATCAAGATCTCCGTCCTGACAAGGGCGAAGGATCTTGGACCCAAGCGGATGCCTGCGATCAAAACACATGAATCAAAACGCTCTCATCCAAGGCACAAGTGTCAGGGTTGGCGGAAACTTTGTGGAATTGCGGTACCTCGTTGCTGACTTGTGCATGCGATGAGTGCGTGTGCGTGCGTGTGATCGAATGCCCCATTCCGCAGGCGCACTTTCGAAGCACAGCGGCGCCAGTCAGCACAAGTGCGTCCATCTTGCCTGCCACGCGAAGGGGATGATTACAGAGATGCGCAGGAAAACCTCACAATTTCACGAAGCACGCTGCTCTGTTGCTTGAGCCTTTCCACAGCTTCCCAAAAATACATCGGACTGCCCACCTTGCCCCTTCCCAGCGATATAGCCCTGGCATCCGACAGCCCCAAGGCTGTGGCCCATGATCACCTGCAAACTGAGGGCCCACTAGGTCTCTTGACAGCGACGGAAGAACGTGACTGAAGGAGTAGATGACATGGTGGTTATGGAGGCCGAGGTATGTGGTCAAATAGACACCTTGCGTGAGGGCGTATCTTCAAGACAAGCTAGGGATTTCTTTCGTACACACAGCTTAAATCCTGTAGCCCTGCAACGTGACCGTGAGCGCCACGAGTCCGCCTTGTGGTCAGCCTTCATACCTGCCTTCTCCATCTGCTGCAGGATGTCATCCACCTGCTAAGTTCTCAAAGCAAGCCAGAATCGTGCTGTGAAGAGAAGCTAGGCATAGCTACTGGGAGCATCCGGCTGGCGCGACGGTGGCTCAAGCAAATGGATGTTGAGCTTCACATTACTACTTGGAGGGTCAGGGGGCCTAGTAAGTAGGTTAACAATGGGGAATATGGGTTATAGGGGTTATTAACCTACTAAGTCCCCCTGACCCTCCAAGTAAAGATCTTCAGGCCATGGCCCAGTGGCCTTGGCCGCAAACTGCAACTCAGGAAGGTCAAAGAGGTACTGCGGAATACCAACCCAAACCTGACGGAGACTTTTGAATGCATTGAAGTCCGTTCACAACAGCATGAATAGTAATAATAGTAATAACAAAAAAGTAATGGCGATAGTAGTAATAGCAGATGTACTTATATTAGTAAGTTCGTCTGTCGCTGCTTCACATGTACATTTCAAGCATGTCAAGCCTGGTTCGGGGATGCGTTTGCCTTACTGACTAGAGTTTTGGGTTTAGGGATTCTTAGTAGAGAAGGAATATATTCTATAGATATTATGTAGGGAGTCTATTCCCTAGGCCCTTATTCCCTACTATAACCCCCAATCAATATATACCCTGCTATAACGTGGTAGTGTCCATTGTCTTTTCCATTATCCCTATATAATCCCCAATATATGAACATATAGAAGTAGATACATACATACATACATACATACATACACATTCCCTTACTCCCTACTGAGAACCAGTAAGCCGCCTCAACCCTAGACCCTGAATCCTAAACCCGAAACCGCATCAGTCTGAGACCGGCCTTGAAGGGAGAGGCCTTCTGGATCGCCTCTGCCGCAGGTTTGTAGCCCTCCACCGGAGAGCTGGCACCCTGCACCGAGATCCTTAGAACAGAACTAAAAGAAGAACAATCGTATAAGAGTAATACTTGTAATGGATAATAGCAATAGAAAATAATAGTACTTATAGCAATGATAACAACAGTGAAAACAGCAGTAATAGCAATAGGCTGCAAACACTGTCACACACTACACTATGTCACGACGCTCATACTACACTTCCTTCTGCCAAGTTGCAAGGCAATCTCGGGGCCTCTTTCAACAGACAGGCTACTCTTCCATGCGAGCTCTAGTCTAAACTAGCATCCCCTTAAGAAGCCCTATTAATAGTCCTCTAAATAATCTCCTATACGCCAGTTTAAGGAGTTTAGACTATAGCTCATGTGATTTCGCGGGCTTGCAGGAGGCATCCGCGCCTTGCTTTCCCTCCAGCGGTGGCAAGAACAAGCTGCCATCCGCATGGGCCAGCAGCAGCAAGACAAGGAGGCGGAGCATTGCTCGCTTCTGCTCTCGTTTCTATTTCTAGTTTTTCAGTATGCTCGAGACCTGGAAAGGTTGGAATCAGACAAGGAGCAAGCAGCTGCATGCTGGCCCTGCTACTAGCATCTGCCAGGAGGCTGCAGAATCAAAGGACTTGCTGCTTTTACTACAGCTGGGTCCTGGGGCTCACCCAACGGTCCGCACGGGCAAAGGCCCGCGCAGCAGACATACGGCTCGCCTGTGATATCCTGCAGACACTCCGCGGAGCACCCGGCTGCTAACATGTGCCATGCCAAGGCTCGAGCAAGCAGCTCTGTTCTTTGCTGATAGGTGGCACCTGCAACATCTGCACTACCAGAGATCGAGAGTTCCGAAGATTTAATGCTCGGTGCGGTCAGGCCACAACAAATGCAGCAGCAGCCTCAGCTATCGCGCAGTTACACAGCTGCTACGCGTGACAACTCGATCAGACAAACGCGTAGGACCTCTGAAGTACAGATCGCTGTAAGGCCAAGAAGCCATAGCAGAAGGAGCCCGGCGCCTGAAGCACAGCTTGTGAGCACAGGTTCATGTGGACTGTGCAGGAGTCACCTCCATAGGGGCTTGGAACATCTCAGTCTTCCATTGGCCCTGGCAAGCTTGAGTCAGCTCCTGCAGCGGTTCAAGTCAGCTGCCCTTGACGCAAACAACACCCAGCTCCTGCTTCACGGGCATCCTGCTCAGTGGCCAGTGCCTGGGCAGCACACAATTGTCATCTGTCACCATACCCTAGTAGCTATAGAAGAATAATGAGCTATAGTCTAAACTGCTCAAAGGGGGTTATATGGGGGATTATATAGGGGACGAATGTAGGGGTCAGGCCGAAGTACTGAAACGAAGCAAGCTAAGCCCTTGGCCAGCGCAGCACGCAACCACTGGTTGGTCCCCTCACTCCCCTTGCAACTCCCCTGCAACACGTCTAAGCCTGAGAGCCGAAATGACCAAGTCAGGAAAGTGCATGAAACACTGGAACCCAAATGGCTAATATACTATAAAGTACTACTCTATAAATACTATAGTATGATCTAATCTACTGTAATATACTTTAACATACTGTATATGTAGCTCGTTCATGAATGACTGGGCTTCAAGAGACCTGAAACTAAAGCCTGCCGCCTGCGCAGCAACCGTCGTTGCGGCAGTGGCTGTCGCTGCCACAGGCGTGATCTGCAGCACAACTCATAGAGCATTCAAGAAGATTTCACCAGGGACAAACCCAAAGGGCCCAATACCACTTAATGAAGGAATATACCTTGTTTAGGGCTTAGGGTTTGGGGTCATACTAGGATCCCTAGTATGGTTCAAGTTTTATTCCTTATTTAAAGGGTATTGTGCTCCCGGGGGGACATGCCAAAATGTGCCGTAGCTGAACCTCAGCTTCCATTTCATTTTCCATTGTCTTGTCCATCTCATTCTCCATCATCGGGGTAATATCACTATCTAATCCCCATGTCATTATGAAGTCCCACCCTAAACCCCCTAAACCCTACACCATAAATCCTAAACCCCTGAACCCCAACCCCTAAACCCTAAACCCTATAGTAGTTTCCACTTTCTTTTCCATTATCCCTATACTACCCCAACCCTAACCCCTAAACCCTAAACCCCCTTAAACCCTAAACCCAAACCCCTAAATCCTAGACCCTAACCCCTCTCAACCCTAAACCGCCTGCTGCGCTTCCGACCCAGCCCGAGGGGGAGGAGATGCCGCTGCCGGCGTTGCCACAGGCGTGGTGGCGGGAGTGGCAGGAGCCTCAGGTGGAATATCTCTTTAGGGTTTAGGGTTTAGGGTTTAAGGTTTAGGGTTAAGGGTTTAAGGTTTAGGGTTTAGGGCTTAAGGTTAAGGGTTTAAGGTTTAGGGTTTAGGGTTGGGATACAGGGATCATATGGGTATAGCACTGTATGCAGGGTATTGGAGTGGGTTTAAAACCCAAAGCGGCCAAAACGGCTAGGAACCATTCCTGAGAAAGCAGATATGGTAGTTTCCCTACTAGGGGGACCCCAAAATAGGCCCCAAAATGCGATAATCCTTATCATAGGGACCCCCAAGAAGGTGCCCCTAATCTAGGGAAACCCTCATATCCGTCCTTGTCATCAGCTGTTGAAAGCTTCTCTGAGTCCTTGTTCGAAGGGCTGGCTCCTGTCAACTTGAACTGCTGGCACTGGAGCAGGGGAATCCATTGTCATTGTTCTCATCCACACCTAGCACCATGGAAGATATCAAGGATAAGTCTACGCAGCATTCTGAACCCTATGTCCTACTGCGATGTCCATCCTGACCCTGATGCCTCCCTCAGCAGACCTGACATCGTCTCGACGGCCTGCAAAGCTTAAGTTGAATGCGGTCCTTCTGCTGCTGATTGCACTGTAGTTGGGAAGGAAGGACCTAGTAGTTTCCACCTCATTTTCCATTATCCCCAAATAACCCCAATATACTAGTCCACTATAATGTATTATATGACCCCCACTCTCAGTTGTGATGTTGCATTCGTCCTACCGGCAGAGATGCAAAGATCACTGGCCGAAAAGGCAGCTGAGAGGGTACCACCCAGTACAAAAAGAGGTGCCATGTCACGGTATTGTCTTAAACCCTACCCCCTTAACATCCCTTAATCGCATATTATGATAAACTTGAATTGAGTTTCTTGACAGCTTATGTAACCCCAACATGACCAGTTTCCATTTAATCTTCCATCGTTGTTCCATCTGATTCTGCATTCTGGGTTACTGTAGACAATATGTAACCTGGCTGAGGAAGTCTACGTAACCCCTATATAAGTCAGTTTCCACGTGGCAGTCTACCGGAATTCAGGCTCTATGTGCAGACAGGTTTGGAGGCTGCGGCAGCTTAAGGCTTGAGAGAGGCTTCGCAAACTTGCAATGTGAAGTGTGGAGCGCCTGCCACCGTTGAAGCTGCTGCGGATGGTGTGGTGGAAACAGGAGCTGCGGCAGGAGCCACTGCGGCTGCAGCGGGAGCTGGAGCCATAGCCGCCGCAGAAGCCGCCACGGAAGCAGCCACGGCAGCAGCTGCGGAAGCGGCCGCTGCAGCAGCTGCGGCAGCGGCTGCGGAAGCGGGTGCGGGAGCGGCTGCGGGAGCGGTTGCGGGAGCCCCCGCGGGAGCTGCCGTGGCAGTGGGAGCCGAAGAATCTTCAACCGGCCCCTCTTTGTTGCCTGGCTCATGGCAAATGATGTGAGAGCACTGCACAGGATGGGCTAGGTAGAGTGGATACTGCTTTGCAGAGATAGAACAGCTTTAACAGTCAAAAATGCTCTGTGATCGCGCATGGAATCAAGCATGTTCCACACTTGGAGTGCAAACGGGCCGTGCGACTGGACAAAACCTTGGGATACTATTTTGGTGCAAGCGGGATTGAACTGCAGCATCAACATCAAGGAGCCTTCGCTGGTCTTTTGAATTTCTGTTTTACCTGCCGACACAGCTTGGGCAGATAGTGAAGAGGCAAACCCCAAGGCGATCACATAGCTTGCTGGGCTCGCCAATGCTCTGCAGTGATTGCAGCCAGAGTCATGGTACAAAAAGGCCTTCCAACGGTTTGCCGCTGCCACTCGGCTTACCTTCGAGCGTGGTGACAAGGATAGACAATGCCAGCACGTGGCCCCAGCTCATTGGATTCTTGGAAGGGATGATGTGTCTTTCTGGTGAAGCTGCGAAAGCTGCCCCTGGATAAGTCTAGTGGGTTCAACAAGCCTTCCTCGATGCCTTTGGAGATGTCAGGCCGACCTGCGCAGGAAGCTCGAGTCCGTTACAAGCCCCATGGGCCAGCCTGCTCATGCTCCTGCCTTCTGCGGCAACTTTGGCAACATCCGGCCTGCCTGCAGCTTGAGGTAAAGCCAAAGCCGGAAGGCATGTGGGCAGGCTGTGAGAGTCTGATGATGACGGCGCATGGATCAGACCTAACACTCAGCAAGGCTGGTGGTGCCCATCAGGTCCTTCTTCAACACTCTTGTTGACCTCGAGGCGTCCTGCACGACGACAGGGGCCATTCGCACAATTGACAATGCTGGTCCATACCGACGCAGCAATATCAGTTTGTACCTGTCGCCTGTCGCCAATGTGGTCATTCCCACAAAATAGGGGGGACCCCAATGTAGACCCCAAAATACTATAATCCTTACTATAGGGACCCCCAAAAAGGTGCCCCTATGTCTACAGCGAGCCTGCACCTTCTTCCACACTCTTGCTGCCGTCAGCTTTGCCTCCCATGATTGAGGGATTAGGGGGTTATATAGGGGTATAATATGTGGATTACATTGGGATAACGGAAAATGAAATGGAAACTATAGGGATTATAGGGGTTATTGTGCGTGGTACTTGCCAAAACGCTGGCTAAGTCCCGCAAAGTAGTGAGGACATGCTTTCCAAACAGGTTCGGGGCGCCTTGTGAGACCGGCCGCCTTGGCGGCGAGGGCGAGGCACACGGCCTGGTAACTTGCCAGCAGCGCTGTTGAACCAGCGCTGCACCATTCAACACATAACAGGGGTCACCGAGGGTGCACATTAGGACAGGAGCACTTGTGTTCAAAATGGAGCAGGTGCAAGACTCTTGGCTGGGAACAAAACATCCGAGGAGAGAGAGGAAGCAAAACCTGACTCAGAATCGAAAAACCTAGCCTCTTCTGTGATACCAAAGCAGTAGCAGTAGCAACAATCTGCATCATCGGTATTCTTCGGTTATGTGCTATAGAGCCCCAGCTTGCTCGCAGGGTTCGGAAGCAGCAAAGGGTGCACTCCTGTGGAGAGGTCGCGGGCTTCCGTAGCGCACATTGAAGCCAAGATCCTGACATCATCGTAGTATTAATAACAATAGTACAGAGTAATACAAGTAATGAAAGTAGTAATAATAATCATAGTAATGAGTAATGAGAGTAATAATAGTAATAATAGTAACAAGAACTAGGTGTCAACGGAGTTCCCAACTGGTTTGTTCAACCGGGGCTCCTCCACCGCAGTCCTGCCACCAGCCTCCTCCACGAGAGCATGATAGCCTCGCAGCTGCAAATACACTGCCATCACAAGATTGGAACACTAAACCCTAAACCCTAAACCATACCACTGCCCTAAACCAGAGGTCTGAGTTCCCCACGTTCTCGTGTGGACATGAGCCTGCTGCGTACTTCCTGACGTTCTGTGGGCCCTTTGAGCTGGTCTGATTGTACAACGTGCGACTGCAGACGGGGCATGGCAAGCACCTTCTAAAAGATGGGCAAGTTCGGGTGCGGAGCTATCGCAACACATGATCACCGATCCTCAACCTCCTTCTCCTTCTGCTGCAACCTGGGCGGATGCCGGTACACAGCCCCAATTTTCCAGGTTACGTGGAATGCGGCAGTCACCACAGCCGCAAACTCCAGGGACGTCGCAGTTCAAGTGTGCGCACCACTTTTTCCAGCCGCGCACGGAACCACCTTTGTCCTTCTTTTTGTTCGGGCTTTGGGACCAAACCTGAAAAGGGAAAGGAGCAGCATGTCAACCCAAAAACCTTTCTGACAGATCCTGACATGAGCCATAGTCTTAACTCCTAGTATCCCCCTTAATAACTCCTATAATACTCCCTTACATAACCCCCTATATGAGCCCCCTCTAAGGAATTTAAACCATATCTCACATGCAAACTGCATCAAGCAAGCGGCAGGAAGAGAAGTACCTTGGCCCAAAGCTCTCCAGGCAGGCTCCAGCAGGCCTTCGGCTATGGGACAAAGGCTACAAGTGGGGTACAGCTCTGAAGGATACCCCTATAGTCCCCCTTAAGTAGATAGAACATGGCTTTGGGTATATTACAAAAAGATCCCCATATACCCCATATTCTATCTACTTAAGGGGGGCTATCTGCATATCTATATATAAACCCTGAACCCTAAACCCTATATATCCCTTTACAACGGGAATCCCCTTCCTCCCTACTATCACCCTAATATATACCCTACTATAATGTAGTAGTGTCCATTTTCTTTACCATTATCCCTATATAACCCAATATATTCCCTTTTCTTTACTAACCCTCACTCCTTCCATAAACGGACTTTCATTTTATCATTACCATTATTACGATGATTACTGCCATTACTACTACTAATATTTCCTACTATTACTGTTATTATGCTACGACTACTATTATTTTCCATTGTCCTGCTGGCCTCAAGGCGGGATGACAGGGGCCGCAGCAACTGCTCCTGCTGGTAGCGCTGTCGCAGGCTGGACCTGCATTGCAGACAAGAGTAGTAATGATAATAATAGGAATGGTAATAATCGTAGTAGTGGGCTAGTAGTAATAATAATAATAGTAGTAATAATAATAGTAGGAGTGGTAGTAATAATAATAGTAGTAGTAGTAATAATAATAATAGCATTAGGAATGGTAGCAACAATAATAATAATAATAGCAAATAACAACAGTAGTTGTTGTTGTCGTTGCTCTTGCAATAAGAGCAATAATTGCAATAATAAGAGGAATAATAGTTATAGACTTTCATGACAACTCCGTGGTGGGACGTTGATGACTCTTGCCGAGTGGCGTTGCCAGGAGCCAGCCCTCCTCTCCTTCCAGAAAATAGAGTCGCCTAGCAAGCAGGACACTTCTCAAATGAGCTATAGTCTAAACTCCTAGTTTCCGCTTAATAAACCCCTATAGTAGTCCCCTATATAATCCCGATATGACCCCATACAACGCCGGATAACCCCATACAACCCCCTTTACGGAGTTTAGACTACAGCTCTCATTAAACCCTAACCCCTATAAACTACATGTATCCTTTCATCCTAGAGTCCATTGATTCCCCATTATATATATATATCCCCCCTTTCAGAAGTTTGCTCAAATGTGCGTTAGTCATGGTTGGTCTGACAGCTCCGGCCTCCTGTCACGTGGCAGCAGGATGTGAAGGCGCTGCTGCAAAGGCCCTGCGCCCAGGGCGCTGGGAGACACAGCCGTCTCAGAGGCGCGGCTGGCATGAGGAAGGAGACTCCTTGAAATAGGGTTTAGGGTTTAGGGCTTAGGGTTTAGGGTAAATGCACCAAGGACTGTCATCTTGTGGTAGCGTCTTTGCAAACTTCACTTGAAGTCGCTTCAGGAGGCAGTTGTTTGAAATGAAGCTTGACAACCCAAACCAGACAATACCAAACATATCCAAGCATCTGCAGCGGTCTCATTGCAACGCGAATGCTTGGGCAGTCTGACGCACCCGTTTTAGGAATGTCGAGCGTGCCCAGCGTGTAGTTTGCACCAGTTGTGAGGCCAAAAACTTTTCTTTGATACGCATCCACCGCTGAGCAGTGGCTGAGAAAGCAGGGCATCTCACCGGGAGACCATTCATCGACCACGTCATCAGAAGAACCTTGTTTGTACCTCATGAGGTTGGCAAAGCCAAGCAAAATCAACCAAAGCAACTAAAGCATATCGACGAAGATCCCAAGCCGTTTGCAACATCAACGATGGAACATTGAAATGAAAGCATGCGCATTACGTTGAGTAATTCACCACTCCCGAGCATGAGTACTTTGACGTTCATTTCTTAGTTTCTGACTTCAGTTCAACTAAGTCCGCATTGAAAATGCCTTCTGTACCTCCCGGCAGATTCTTGATGTCAAAGCTTTCATGCGTCAGCTGACGCCACGCGGTGTTTTAGGGCAACAACTCATTTCGGTAGGCGAAAGCGTCGAAAACGCGTTCAACAGAGACATGTCAAGCATGTTTCCTGCAAGTGCGACTGGCAACCTAACCGTCGATGCACACATCAAATGACAATGTTTCTCAAGGCAACAAAATTTCAGTAGCACCAACCATGCAAAATTTTTGTATCGTCCACCACACTTTCAGGTTTTTGTCCAGGCCTGTAGAATACTTCCAGAAAACAGTCCGCGCCTTCAGCATACGCTAGACATGTCCAAGACCATTACAAGTATGACTCACCCCTGCAACTGGACAAGAAACACACATCTGCTCAAATAACGAGCAGTACTCATCTTAGCAAGCAGCAGACAAATTCAGAAGGTTTTGCGTGCAAAGAATTTCGAGACGTTCTCCGCAGTTGCTTTCATTCGCAGCTCTAGCTTCAAGAGGAACACAACCAACATGTCTGACAGCGCAAGCCGCGGAAGAAATCAGAAAACGTCCTCTAATATTGTAATGTAGTAGTTTCCATTGCCTTTTTCATTATCCCTGTATTACCCCTCTATTCCCCCCCTATATTTTATTCCCTATTCCCTACGAACCACCAGTTATCAGTAATAGCAGCAGCGTTGCATCAAAGGATGCCAGATCGCGGTCTCTGAGAACCAGTTGACAGTTGCGAGATGGGCATCCAGGACAGGTTCCCGCCGATTGTGCCCACCCAAAACCTGGGTTGCTGTTTAGGAACGTAATTTAAGTTACTGTATCGGGAAACCCGTATTATTTACTATACATACCCATTATGGTAACTTAAGTTAAGCTCCTTAACCCTAAACCCTATACACCCTACATACCCTACATAGCCTATATACCCTACATATACCCATTATGGTAACTTGATTTACATTCCTGAACAGCAACCCAGAAACGAGCAACTTCGAGTCCAGAAATGCCACAACTACTTGCCTCCTGGGGAGCTCATTGGCTGGTGTGGGAATCTCCTGGGTTGCTTTTAAGGAACTTAAATTAAGCTACCATAATGTAGGAGTCATATAAGGATAATGGAAAAGAAAATGGAAGCTACTATTTCGGGTTTAGGGTCAAGAGTTGCTGTTAAGGAACTTAAATTAAGTTACCATAATGGGTACACATAGGGTATATTGGGTTTATGGTACATAGGGTTTAGGGTGTAGCGACTTAGAGTAAGTTACCATAATGGATATATATATATATATAGTAAATAATAAGGTTTCCCAATACAGTAACTCACATTCGGTTCCTTAACAGCAACCCAGTTTCTGTCCAGCTTTCACCCATATTGGATGAGAGCCAGCAGTCCCAACGTTCGGGACTTGAGTTCCAGCCACCGCCAACCAATACCACCTCGCTGGATCTGACTTCCCGAGTCGCCACCCCCCTTTGGGAGCCCTTTTATACGGGGTTTACACGGCTGTATTATGTAGGGAGATATGGTCATATGAGCTATAGTCTAAACTCCTAGCATCCCCCTTAATAACCCCTGTAGTAGTTCCCTATATAATCCCCCATATAATCCCCCTTTAAGGAGTTTAGACCATAGCTCATATGGGGATATATGAGGGGTTTTAGGGTTTAGGGGCTTTGAAATCAGAATCCCGGCCTGTTGCGGCTTGCCAGGACTGACTGCAAGCCCTGGGCTCACGCGACGGCCGAATGGCCCCGCCGCGCACATGCGGACGAAGCTGCGGCCAAAGTCCTCCGAGACCTGAGACTTGGGGCTATGAGGAGGTTATATCTGTTGTGTAGTTCCACAAAGATGTAGGGGAGATTTAAGACTTGGGATTAAGTTACCACAATTGAAAATCAAATGAACCAGAAAATGGAAACGCTAAATGGAAACTGGCTTCATACAGGGGATATCTTATCATCCCACGTGATGGTCATGAACCTCCGAGAGGGGTCCCACAAACCTAAACCGCTTTGCTACTCAGTACGGTTTGAGCAAAGCCTCCCACACGTCTTCCATCGGACGCGCGGATCCCAGTCCACAGGCAACATAAAGAAGTCCCTGTGTGGTTCCTGCCAAGCCCAACTGGACAGTGATGGAAAGCGTGTTGAGGACTTCATCTAACTTCGCATCCCTGACTCTGGCTGCACAGGACCTGCTACACATCCAGCAGCGGTTCCGAAGGCTTCCCTGTGCAGGCCACAGGGCAACATTGCTTCTTCTGCCGGCCACAGCATCAGCCAGCGTGCAGGCACCTTCCACACCACTTGCCTCGTGTGTCCAAGGCAAAGGGAAGTATGAGCTGAACTCGTTTCAGGCCCTGAAATTTGCAGAGGACACAAGAAGCCCAGCTGCTGCGGACTGTGACTCCTCCATCTTCCATCCTGCCATCCTCGTGGGCCGAGACCTCCTCGACAAAGACCCACACTTGGAAAGACCCATGGCCAACTGAAAACCACCACTGCGTCTACCTACCTGCACAACTTCTGTGAATGCAGCTCATCAAGCTGCTTTCTCTGCATTAGTTCGCGACCGCCGCTGCCTCCCAGTGCAGCCCATCGTCAACACTGCCTTTGACAGCGATGGCTGATGAGCAAACAATTGGTGATGGTGTCGCTCCGTGAGGCTCATCATCTCGACCCTCGACCGCTTCAGCTTTGTCACGGCTTTGGAAGCTTCGGGCTAATGCGGGGCTACCTCTCAGCATTTCACCGAGGCACGCCACACGTCATTCTGGTAGCGCCTGCATCCACCAAACTTACTAAACTACTCTATACGGCTGCTCACAGCAGGTCCAAGCATCTTTGCAATAACAAAGCCAAGGCGCTCCCCTTTGCGTCCTCCTAGGAGCAACAGCAGCGCCTTGCAGCCCATTGTATACAACATAAACTCAATGCTTGTCCAACAAGACATTGGTGTAGCAATCTCTTCGGGCCAGGTTCAGAGAAATGTTTGCATTGGAGGTTTGTTTGGCTTCGCCAAGGCTCTGTTCACGCTCAACTTCACATGTGAGACATCCCCAACTCCAAGCCTTACCCTGGGAGGAAATTGCGAGAGTGCGGAAGTTGCGCCGGCCCAGAAGAAAGTCCGCTCCTGCCAGTAGGTGATGCGATGCCATCACAGCCAAGGTCAAGGTGGTTGTACCCAGAGCAATGTGGCAGATATATACCCCATAATCCCTATATAACCCATTAGTAGCTTTCATGTTGTTTTCCATTATCCCAGTAGTTATAACCCATGATAATCTGGCATCAGCTCAACACTAAACTTTGGGCTGATGTCGCTCACGTCCTCCCACAACTTGTCTTGGCTCGGCGCGCCCAAGCCAAAGCTCATCACCAAAACGGAGCAAGGCCATGCTCATGACCACCGGATTTCTCAGAATGCTTGAAATGACTTAACTCATGGCTGCTGTTTGCAACATCAGAATCTCAAGCTTCGTACGCTGGCTGAGCTTGGGGATGGGCCGGGGCAAAGCTTCACCTTACGCTCGAGCCTAGAATTCTAGGGTATATCTTGGGGTTATATAGGGATAATGGAAAAGAAAATGGAAACTATAGGGATTATAGGGATTATAATGGGGTATATATTGGGGTTATATAGGAATAATGAAAAAGAAAATGGAAACTACTAAAATGGGTTAGATAGGGACCCATTGTGACAATTTGCACCTTATCATATGGGCGACGGCTCATATTATGAACACACCGACACTACTGGGCGGGTGGCGTGTCTCCAAGGCTTTCGATCGATGGCCCTGCAGCTGGAGTAACCTGATTGAACAAACACGCGCAACTGTGATCCGTACAGGTATGCTCGACTATTTGGGCAAGCCCGAGACAAGTTGAAGCGCAACCGCAGAAAGTCACAGGGCACCAACAAGTACGCAAATTTCTCAGGAAGTGGCGGGCGCCTCTGCCTCTGCCTGTCATATCCAGATCAGAGCAGGAAGGCTTGTAAATCCGGATGTTGAAATTATCTAGGCAGGGATGCTGTGACAGGCAGCCTTCAATGTGTCGCGCTCGCGACGGAGCAGGGCCTGACGTGATGACTTGCGGCCATTAAGGTGCACACACAAGTTGATTTTAAGTAGGCGCGCGGAGATTGAGCTTCCAGTTGTCTGACACTGGCCTAGTACAAGCACAAGTTGGACATTGCTGCTCTTCATGACTTTCTGCGGTCGCTTTCCAACGCCTTCGGGTCAAGGCTTGATTTTTGAACTCGCTAGGATTCAGCTTGTCTGTTTGGCTTTGCTGCTTTCTCTGATGGTGTGGCCTGCTGATGCAGGTAGTGCCGCGGCTGCCGATCTGCGAAAACTAAGTGGCCCACAACCTCACGCTCAAATGCTCCAAGTTCGCGCTGAACCTCGGCTGTCTCATTCTTTGCACCAAGTACCGAGCGTTGTGCAGAAACTACCGTGTATGCAACATGACTTCGAAACGTACAGCAGCCTTCACGCAAGCCCGCATTCGCGGCTTCGTCTGGCGGTGGGAATAAGAATAATCAGAATAAGAATAACAACTATAGTGATAATAATGATGGTAAGAATAATCGTAGTAACAAAAATGATAGGAATCAAAACAGTAGTACAAATCCATTGGAGCTGGTTTGGCTCAGACTAAGCCACCTGCCTTCTGCACCGCCTGCGTCTGAGCCTCTCGCACACAAGGCAGATGCAGAGAAGGAACAGGAGACTGCAAGAGCCATGGTCGGCACTCCGAGCATCCCTCATAATAATCCCATAATACTCCCCTAATTGGAGTTATATAGGGATAATGGAAAAGAAAATGGAAACTACTACAGTGGGGTTATATGAGCTATAGTCTAAAATCCTAGCATCCCCCATAATAATCCCATAATACTCCCTTATAGACCCCCTTTAAGCAGTTTAGACAACAACCTCAACCCTGGCTAACGATGCATGGGCTGAATGCATATGTCTGTCCAAATATTGGCACATGCTCTTTCGGACTCTCTTGACTGGGTTGCTGTTAAGGAACTTAAGTCAAGTTACTATATTGGGGGGAACCATATTAAGTACTATATAAGCCCATTATGGTAACTTTATTTAAGTTCTTTAACAGCAACCCAGTTGAAAGACGAACACTTCCAGACACAAAGCAAAGCACGGCTCGGAGCCGAAGGCCTCGCGGCAAACTTTTTCAAGGCGCACACTTTGCAGTCGGCAGGCATTAAAGCTGCGCGCAGATGCAAGTTGCAGAAAAATGGATAAGCCACGAAGTTCCGACAGCACCAACAATACCATGGATTCGTGGGAGCAGATGCTGAGTCGTGCGTTCTGCTTCGGTCAGGCTTGTCCAGCCGTATAAATTACAATGAGTTCACGAATTTGACTGGTCCTCAGAGGACGAGAGAAGCCAGAGTGCATACTTCCGCGAGCAGACAGATGCCTGACCTCACACACTTTCAATGGGCTCGCTACATCACAGTTGCCCTGTGCACAGGCCCGATGCTGCAGAGCAAACGTCCTGTCGCGAAGCTGAAGGTGAGAGTGCTGCTGCCACCAGCAACTTGCTGACAGCTCACACCTATGATTTACAGGAGAAACGACACAATGATACAGAATGGTAAAGACCACGTGATGCTGCAAAATTGCAGCAGGTCACATGACGTACAGAGGTGCGGCTGCCAGCAGGTTCAAAAAAACAGCAAGATGCATCCAATTCATTTGTGTGTATGTGCATGTCTTAGCGCTCAAGCAACTGGCTAGAAAATTTTTACAAGCAAAGGAGCGGGTAGTTGCGGTACATTTGGGTTTGATGCTGCAGCTGGGCCATGTACGGGAGGCAGCTACGCCTGGTGCACGAGCTGCTAGTAGGAGCCCGCACCTCACTGCCCCGAGCGACCCATCCGCAGTCAAAGCGCGATCTGCGCCGCTGTTGCCACAAGAATCTGAGATTTACAATAAGGAAGAGCGTCCTTCAGACGCAGAACCAGCACCCTGTGTTCAAGGTATTGTCGATTTTGCCCTGGGGACTTGATCTGTCGGGGCTGACGCTGGCCCCAAGACATCAGATCCCCAAGGATTGACAGTCGGAGACGAAGCTTTGCACAGTAGGCGGTCATGGGCTGGACTCATGACGCGGAAGACTTCCTCTCCGTGTCTGAACAGAGAGGAAGAGTGAACAACACAAAATAGTATTGTAGCATGACACAATGGCTGAGAGAAACATGCGTCGTCCACAGTCTGGCTTGAGCTCGCTGGGCTCGCACGCTAGGCAATTCCTTAGCCGCCTGACAGCCTGCTCTTCAAATCCTGGCATGCATGACACAGACATGCTGGCTACAAAAAATCTGGTACTCCGCTGCTTGCGAAGAATCTGCATCATTCATTGGCTGATTCCTTGCAAAAAACATTGCCATCATGGTGCTACATTTTGCACTACTGCACAACCATGCGTGTCCAATTCCCACCCTCCACACACTGGTCTGCAGGAAGCTGCCGGAAAGTCAGGCAAACGCCAAAAGCTCAGCTGTGCCTGCAGCAGGATTTGGGGGTTTCCCAAAATTAGGGGTACCTCATTGGGGGTCCCCATAATAGGGATTATAGTATATTGGGGTCTATATTGGGGTTCCCTTATTTAGGGAAATTACCATTTGGGTCTAATGATTTGCGTGATCTTCTCGCTAGGAACTGAATTAAGGATGATCTACACGGTCTACACGTCAGCAGCACATCCAAGGGAGCTTTGCAGCTGCAGACACTCAGCCAATGTGACTCGGAACGTTGCCACCACTTCCAAGCAACACAGCTAGGTAGGCATATTACGAAACACTAGCGTTATCTAGAGTAGGAACCATGGGGATACAGGCTATAACCTGGCTATAACTTGAGCATTTTCCTAACTACAGCCTCCGTAGTCCCAGCTTCCATTTCATCGTCCATTGGTGTGTCCATCTGATTCTCCATTGTTGGGCCCCTTTTTGCCCATTACATTCCTTATATAACCCTACAGTACTGGTCTTCATGAAATTTGCAATGTGACGTTCCATTTGAT